CATTGAGTCTTAATCACATGATGATGTGAACTAGTTTAGTGACACTAGTAAAACTCTTTAGATGTTGGTCACATGGTGATGTGACCTGTGAGTGTTAATCACATGGTGATGTGAACTAGATTATTGACTCTAGTGCAAGTGGGAGACTGTTGAGGCAATAATAAATAAGTTATTATTATATTTCCTTGTTCATGATAATCGTTTATTATCCATGCTATAATTGTATTGATAGGAAACTCAGATACATGTGTGGGTACATAGACAACACCACGTCCCTAGTAAGCCTCTAGTTAACTAGCTCATTAATCAACAGATGGTTACGGTTTCCTGACCATGGACATTGGATGTCGTTGATAACGGGATCACATCATTAGGAGAATGATGTGATGGACAAGACCCAATCCTAAGCCTAGCACAAAGATCGTAGTTCGTATGCTAAAGCTTTTCTAATGTCAAGTATTTTTTCCTTAGACCATGAGATTGTGCAACTCCCGGATACCGTAGGAATGCTTTGGGTGTACCAAACGTCACAACGTAACTGGGTGGCTATAAAGGTGCACTACAGGTATCTCCGAAAGTGTCTGTTGGGTTGGCACGAATCGAGACCGGGATTTGTCACTCCGTGTGACGGAGAGGTATCTCTGGGCCCACTCGGTAGGACATCATCATAATGTGCACAATGTGACCAAGGGGTTGATCACGGGATGATGTGTTACGAAACGAGTAAAGAGACTTGCTGGTAACGAGATTGAACAAGGTATCGGTATACCGACGATCGAATCTCGGGCAAGTACAATACCGCTAGACAAAGGGAATTGTATACGGGATTGATTGAGTCCTTGACATCGTGGTTCATCCGATGAGATCATCGTGGAACATGTGGGAGCTAACATGGGTATCCAGATCCCGCTGTTGGTTATTGACCGTAGAACGTCTCGATCATGTCTACATGTCTCCCGAACCCGTAGGGTCTACACACTTAAGGTTCGATGACGCTAGGGTTATAAAGGAAGTTTGTATGTGGTTACCGAATGTTGTTCAGAGTCCCGGATGAGATCCCGGACGTCACGAGGAGTTCTGGAATGGTCTGGAGGTAAAGATTTATATATGGAAAGTTGTTGTTCGGGTTCCGGAAAAAGTTCGGGTTTTTTCGGTATTGTACCGGGAAGCTTCCAGAAGGTTCCGGAGGATTTCGGAGGGGTCCGGAGGTCTGGAAATTGTTCCACCACGTCCAACACAGTAGCATGGGCTGTAGGGGGTGCCCTAGCCTTAATGGGCCAGGGGCACCAGCCCCCCCAAGGCCCATGCGCATGGGAGGGGAAAACCCTAAAGGGGGAGGCCTCCACTTGACTTGGGAGGCACTCCTCCCCCCTTGGCCGCCGCCCCTAACCCTAGATGGGATCTAAGGGGGCCGGCCCCCTCTCCCCCCCCCCACCTATAAATAGTGGAGGGGTGGGAGGGCAGCCGCACCACAAGTTCTGGCGCAGCCCTCCCCCTCTCCCAAGTACTTCTCCTCTCCCGCGGTGCTTGGCGAAGCCCTGCAGGATTGCCACGCTCCTCCACCACCACCACGTCGTTGTGCTGCTGCTGGACGGAGTCTTCCTCAACCTCTCCCTCTCTCCTTGCTGGATCAAAGCGTGGGAGACGTCACCGGGATGTACGTGTGTTGAACGCGGAGGTGTCGTCCGTTCGGCACCAGGATCTCCAGTGATTTGGATCACGACGAGTACGACTCCTTCAACCCCGTTCTCTTGAACGCTTCCGCTTAGCGATCTACAAGGGTATGTAGATGCACTCTCCTTCCCCTCGTTGCTGGTTTCTCCATAGATAGATCTTGTTGACACGTAGGAAAATTTTGAATTTCTGCTACGTTCCCCAACAATATCATGTGCAAGAGACAATGGACCAATCCATCCCTTTTTCCCATTCATATGCATTGGACTCGGATGATGATGGTACCGATGAAGAAGTTGATGAGGAGGGGTTCACGCCGAAGGAGGCCGAAGCATGTAAGAAGGTCTTCCGGCGGGATCACAAGACACCATTGTTCAAGGATCTTAGTCTCGCGGATGAAGCCGTTGTAGATGGTGGCAAATGTATATCTGTTGGAGGTAGGCCAAGTTCTCACCGTGATTTGGAAGACGGCAAGAACGGGATATATCCTGGTTGTGAGTTTGAATCCTTCTTGAATTGAAGATGTGGCTCGACAACTACTCGGTTACGCATTATCGTCCACATAGAATGGCCAACTCGAACGTCATGTGTGTTACACGGTTAAATGTGAAGTGCCAAGATGTCCATGGATTGTGCGTGCAAGACCATGGAAAGGAGGTCCCACTTGGCACATGAGTTGTGTACCAAGTCACATGTGCCGACACAAGAATGCGGATGGCAAGCTTGTATCCCAAGAACACAGACAACTCACGTCTGAGTTCATTGCTTACAGGTTTTCCAACCAAATATCCACACTTCCAACAATGATCATTAAGAGTGTCATTGACTTTGTGAAAGCCATCTTTCATTATGAGGTCAAGTACGGCAAGGCATGGAAGGCGAAGCAAGCCGCATTCAAGATGTTGTATGGAAATTGGGAGGAAGCATACAACTAGACTCCCTAGGTTGTTGTTAGCTATGGCCGCCACAAACCCAGGCATGGTTCACGTGGTCGAGCCTCATGGGCACCAAACATTGATTCACAATGGGAGGAACGTCCGAGTATTTGGCCGTGCATTTTGGGCTTTTGAGCAATGCGTGAGGGCTTTTGAGCATTGTCGGCCCGTCATCGCCATTGATGGCACGCCCTTGACCGGACAATACAAGGGCACTATATTGGTTGCAATAGCAAGTGATGCCAATAACCGGGTGTTGCCTTTGGCTTTCACTTTGGTTGAGGTGGAGAACAATGATAAATGGGAGTAGTTCTTGCGTCAATTGAGAACAAGGGTATTACCGGCTGAAAGGGAAATTTGTGTCATATCGGATCGCCATCCAGGAATTCTAAATGCGGTGGTGGTTGACATTCTCGGACATGCAAAGTTGCACCATCGATGGTGCATGAGGCACTTTTGTGCAAACTTTTATAGGGCATGTGGTATCAAGGAGTTGGCCAATGATTTTTAAGATTGTTGTCTCGCTTTCTGTGACAAGAGGTTCGCCAACTTGTACAATGCATTGCTCACACACAAGAAACTTGATCCCGGTGGTCTTGACTTTATCAATAGGAACATTGCAGAAAGGAATAAGTGGGCACGTGCTTTCGATGGAGATGGCCGGAGGTACGGTCAAATGACAAGCAAGATGACAGAATGCTTCAATAAGGTGCTCAGGGGTGTACGTGCATTACCTGTAACGACAGTAGTTCAATACGATGAATGCGTACTTTTTAAAGTACTCAATGGAGACGGATAAGTAGATTGCTGGTGAGAACAAGGAAAAGCACAAGTACAATTTCCCACCAAAGGTTGAAGAATGGTTGGAATTTCAATCACGGAAGACAGACTCCCAAGAAGTTGTACGTATATGACGACAACGATTGGATGTATGAAGTGAAAGAGCCTGGAGGAACCACAAACGATGGTCACCAACACGGAGGTCGGGCTTTCAAGGTCTCCCAAATAGTGTGTGATTGCACTTGCATGAGGCCATCGTTGCTTCATCTCCCATGCTCGCACTTGTTAAACACATCTCGTGTTACGAATGTGGATGTCAATCACCCTCTTACCGTGCACGATGCGAGACGGAGGTTCGTCGAGCGGATCCGGGTGAAAACCTTGTTCTCGGCTTGTTGCCAAGACCAGGGATGGCAGCACAGTTTTGTGTCGTTGCCTTCTTGAAGGCATTGTCGTGGAGAAGCTCCAGACCTCTATCTGCTACCTTCGGGGGAAACCCTAGATCAGTAGATCGTATGACGGCGACTCTCTGGTGTCGTCCCCCTTGGGGGCGTCATTCTTGGAGATGTACACGGGCTCAAGGGACCAGTGGACGGCTTCTTTGGTGGAGCGGTGCTTCATCTTACTCATTGATGGCGGCGGATCTCGGCGGTGTGGCGCAGTGGAGACTCGGTGTCCGATGCGCGGAGATGGACTCGCGCAGGAGGAGGACGCTTGTGTGGCGTCATGGTGGCGTCGATGGCAAAGAAGACTGGCAAGGTCGGTGTGTTAGTTTCTGCTCTGAGGATGAATTGATGGAAGACGACGACGACGACACATGATGAGAGTGCATCAGACCGGTTTGTACCCCAAAGCCCAGTATGTGGCTCGGTTGATACATACTCCCTCCATTTTTATTTACTCCGCATAGCTTTGGTCAGAGTGAAGGTTTGTAAACTTTGACGAAGTTTTTGTAGTCAAAATATGAACATCTACTCCCTCCGTTTCTTTTTTACTCCGCGTATAAATTTTGGTCAAAGTCAAACTACATAAACTTTGACCTAATTTATATTAAAAAATATGAACATCTACAATACTTAAACTATATAATATGAAAATACATTTCATGGTGCATCTGAAAATGTTGATTTCATATCGTGAATGTTGATATTTTTTAATATAAAGTTAGTCAAACTATGCAAAGCTTGACTTTGACCAAAGCAATAGCATCAGATTCATTATTGGACGTACCTTCCTTGGCATCATCATATAAATTTTGTTAGGGTAAATATGCATATTCTTTTTTTTCTATAAAAAAGCTTGGTAAAACTTTACGAAGTTTGACTTGAGTCGACTCTAATAATATGCAGAGCAAATAAAAACGGAGGGAGTAGTTGTTTTCAAGGAAATAAATAGATAGATAAATCGGGAATTTAGAAAATAGATGAGTGGGTTTTGGTTTTTGAACCGAAATCTGATTGGATTCTCAAATCAAATCTGAGTCGGTTTTGGTTGAGAGATAGATAGATAGATAGATACGGCCCAACCCCTTCCACGGCGCAGCACCCCCACAATCCATCCAAGAGAGAAGCCCAACCAACCCCAACAGACAGACAGAGCGAGAGAGAGAGGATGTCGGCCATGGAGACGGACGCCCCCGACGCGCCGCCGCCGGCCGCCCCGGCCCCCGCCGCCGACGCCGGCGCCGGGTCTTCGTCCTCGTCGTCCCGCAAGCCGGGCAAGCGCTTCGAGATCAAGAAGTGGAACGCCGTCGCGCTCTGGGCGTGGGGTAAGCGCCGATCCGATCCGATCCATCCCTAACCCTAACCCTAGATAGCTTCGGTTGATTGATTGATTGATTGATGTGGTGTGCAGACATCGTGGTGGACAACTGCGCCATCTGCCGTAACCACATCATGGATTTATGTAAGCTTCCCAACCCTATTTCTTGTTTTCTGTTTCTATTTGGGGAATCGCCGATCTGCGGCTAGCTAGGATTTCCTTGATCGATCTGATCCTCACTTGAATCTGTCTGCTTGGTGAGTGCAGGCATCGAGTGCCAGGCCAACCAGGCCAGCGCCACCAGCGAGGAGTGCACCGTCGCATGGGGTACCTCTCTCTCTCTCTTACATATCAATATCACTGTTGCTTCCTCCACCGCCGACTGCCAAATTTATATGCCTCTAGTCTAGATTAAATTGCCTCTTACGGCTGTACTGTATTGCGCGTGCGTCCATGAAGATGCTTACATACATATAGTCTCTTACGGCTGCTCAGGTGTATATTAACCATAAAAAACCAACCCTGCTTCTTCTGACGACCGCACAAGAGGCTCTGTGTGGTGACTATGAAATACACATACTTGTATTCATAATAAAGATAAAAAAGACAGGCTCAAATTTCCTTCTTAGATGATAATCTTTTGTCAGACACTGCCTCGTTTAATGACGTGATTCCCATGTTTTACCTACTCTATAGTTGATTGATATTTACCTACCTCATGATTACGCGCCCTTGTTGGCGAATCAGGGCTGCAACCTCTGTTTTTTCTGCATGTTACACCACCTACACCAACTCTATATGGGATAAGTAGTAAAACCTGTCACTCTACTTTAGATAGATTGAAGCTGTGCATCTCATCTTGTTGCAGATCGGACATGATGCTAAATAAATTGCTTGTGTATCGGTCTGTTGAAATGATAAATCAACTTAGTATCTAGTATTTGATAAAAGTGCAACTCCCTCTGTCTGTGTTTATTAGGCCAGGGGGATGTTTCAGCAAATAAGGCACCACAATTAGTGTGCACGGGAAAAAATTTCAGTTTAGAAAATCCGCTAGATTTAGCTGACATGATATCCCCCAAATTGTCTGCGAATTAATTTCCCTTGATGAGCGCATGTAACGGCAGCCAAACGGCTGAATATGAGTGGACGCAGCTCCCCTGCTCGCTGGCCTGATTAACATTCAGATATGCTCTATTTCTCCAATATACACCTGTCATGCATCTTTAGGAGTACTAGGCTTGCATCTGGAATTTTTTATTATGTGACCATCCACTCTTGGTGAAGCCTAAGCCAGGAAAACATGTCATTGTACTTATGGTAGTGTTTTATACATCATTTCCATTTTCCTTTTGTGCAACTTGCCTTATCTGTAGATAGGATCATTAATAGTAGGAATATAGTTTGCCCATCTGTAGAATTGAAAATAATAATCACTGTTTGTGGACCATGAGTTGTCATACAGTGCTTTTATGTTTTACAAACTTCAAACATATTGGCCCATGTGCTACTTGTAGTTTGGATTATCCGTCTCTTTGCTCGCTGATGGAATTACAAACTTGTGAGATATGAATTTTTTTTATGCTATACCTCGTCGCGTTATTGTAGTCTCAAGACCCAGAAGATAGTAGGATGCCCTCATGGGGCAATTAATGGGGTGTGTGGTTAACTCAAATGTTTGATATTTGGTACTGAAGTTAGTAATATCTTGTTGCGAGCGATTAAAATTACCAGACTATATACCCCCTTGACATCTACTCCCTCTGTTCCTAAATATATGTCATTTTAGAGATTTTAATATGGACTACATACGGAGCAAAATGAGTGCTCTAAAATACGTTTATATTCATCTGTATGCAGTCCATAGTCAAATCTCTAAAAAAAGGCATATATTTAGGAAGGGATGGAGTATCTTAACTAGTTTCTGGGGTCAAATATTTCCCTTGTAAATAGATTTATTATTGTAGAGCAAACTCTTTGGTATTGAGCTTCAGTGGACCTAACATGATGTGGTCTTGTGCACTACAGGTGTCTGTAATCATGCTTTCCACTTCCACTGCATCAGCAGGTGGCTCAAGACTCGCCAAGTGTGCCCACTAGGTAACCACAGTTTCTGTATGGCTCAAGTTCATCTTGTTGGAAATCTTCATATATACTGACCAGCATCTTTTTGTTGCTCCACGTTGCAGACAACAGCGAATGGGAGTTCCAGAAATACGGCCACTAGACCACCCTCCTCCGCCACTGGGCGGCGGCATGTTACTTGCCTACTACCACCCCACCAGAAGCCCAGGCCTATCTCTTGTCGAGCGTCGTTATCTCCGCCTACTTTAGAACATTTGCGTCTACATCTCCTGTTTGATGAGTTTGTATAAAGGATTCATGTACTTGCGCAACTAATGCTATCGTATTAAGGGATTCCCCCACTAAATTACCTGTGCGGTGGTCCTGTGGTCGGTGCCTTTTTTCAGCTTGCTGGGATGAGGAATATTGCTTTGGGAATGCTGTCCCGGGTTGGTTATCTTTTTGAGTAGAGATATGTTGAGTGTGGTGGTATTATTATGGAAGGGCATCAGATTCTGGTGAGTGCTTTTGATGCCACCTAAAGCTGCATGGCTTCTCCTGGAATCCGGTGGGAACTGTCTCAGGTCGGTCGTGTGCTTCCTTTTGTCGGTGACTAGATAGACTACCTTTTGTCGGTGCTTATCTTTGTTGCAATTCTTGTGAATTGTAATGTGGATGATGATCTGGGGAGCACCGTCTAGCGAAAAGGAAAAAGGAGAACTACAATCTTGGCTAGGTTCATCCTCTTTGACACAGTTGTGGCTCCACCTTTGGATGTTGTTGGATTCTTTTCTGAAGTTCGAACAAGTTTTGAAGGATTCATGGATGGTTCTGAAAATGAAATTTCTCTTAACCATGGTAGCCAAAACTGGAGGGATTCTTGCCTATTTCATTCATCCATCCATCCATCAAAACTTACGTGATTTATTTGCGCGAACACATGATTTACATTTCATGAAGGCAACCTATGTGTGCCTTGTTGAAATATCTAAGCTTGGTTTCCACATGGCCAGTTTTAGCAAGGCCAGGCCATGGCAGTAGTAGTGTACATCTTCCGTGCTTCATCGGCCAGCTCCAGGAAGAAGGGCCTTAGGCTAGCACAGGGCTCCGTCCGGACGACGATGGCTGTAGGTTGGCGGCGAACTTCCTCGCCCACTGGTCGTAATGTATGATCTCCTCGAGCGACGGCCTTGTCACCAGCTCGTTGCGGTGCGCGTCGCACGTCATCTCCACCACCTTGAAGATGTCCAGGTAGCTGATCCTGCAAAAGCAACAACAGGGGAGATGGATGAGGGCTTGTGCTTTTTATGTCCATGTTCATAAAAATACTTTTCATTGCAACAAATATGCAACAACAGGTATGCCAAACTTAAGCTAAACTTATATCAAGTGCTCATGAAATCAAGGTTCCACAGAGTTATTATAGTCCGTAACGTATAGGTTATGGTTGAAAGTGCCTGAGCATATTATTAGCTTTCAGGACATACATTCTTCTTTCAAGTCAGACTACGCAAAGGATTTTTGTCAACTTTTTTAATCGTGATGCTGTTATCAGCAGAACAGACACATGGAACATAGTTACGTCAACCAAATCAGAACAATGGCATCCACTATGCAATGCTTTGTCTAAAAAACAAGACAGAAGAAAAGGATGATAGCAAGCAGAAAAGAAAGAATCATACTTTTCGTCGATGAACAGCTCCACCGCCTTCTCATTTGCGGCGCTCAACACTCCAGTCATGGTGCCCCCGGCTCGCCCTGCCGCATACGCGAGATCTACCGATGGGTATTTCACGTTGTCCGGAGCTTTGAATGTCAGCGACCCCAGCCTGCATTATCAATTGCAATCAATTAGCTAAGAAATTAATCTGGAAATTCTTAGAGGACATTTTAGAACAAAATTGTTGAGCCAGGGAGAGTGCTTTTACTTGCAAAGGTCTAGCCGGGGCCAGGTGACCTCGGAGCAGTAGACTCGGTCTGGCCAAGACAAGGTGTATAGGATCGGTAGCCGCATGTCTGGCCATCCCAGCTGAGCCAGGACAGATGAATCCTGAGGAAATAATACAACTTCATGAACACTTGAAGATAATATTAAGCCATATGTAAATAATTTAGCATATCAGCCTCAAGGACCTGAAGGAGCATAAACCTCAGATTCTGCTGGTCTGATGCGCTAAACGTACTACTAGAGAAAGCAAGAATAAAAGATATGCACCGAGTCACATCGGCATGACGTGTGTGTGTGTTACAGTGTCCTTAAGAATATATGCTTCTTGAAAAAAGGGGATAACTATGTTGTAGGGCCTCACCTGGGTTTCAATCATAGAGTGTATGATGGACTGTGGGTGAATCACAATCTCAATGTCATCATATTCAGCACCAAACAAATAATGCGCCTCGATAACTTCTAACCCCTGCAAGAATCAAGTTGTCGCAATAGTGATTAAACACACACATAAAAAAGGAAGTAAAAATTTTCAGCATAAAGTTGAGGAAATTTCCAAGCACCTTGTTGAACAAAGTAGCAGAATCTACTGTGATTTTCTTCCCCATGCTCCAGTTTGGGTGCTTCAAAGCATCAGCAACCTTTACATCTTTCAGCTTCTCAACTGGCCAGTCCCTGTCATCATCAAGTGATATAAGATGGAGTTCGATGCTTCCAGAAGTAAAACATGTACCACAATACACATGTAAACAAACGGACTTACCTGAAAGCACCGCCAGATGCAGTCAGAATAACGCGACGGAGCGATCCTTCAGACAAGCCTTGTATACACTATAGGATAGGAGCAGAAAACATAAATTCACAATATTAACAAAAATATATCAAAACAACAAAAATCATATCAACAATTTTTTTTCATCATGGTGAAAAATATATCTGCGGTAAGAACTAACTGTTTTATGGTATGTACCTGAAATATTGCAGAGTGCTCTGAATCAGCAGGAAGTATTTTCACATTGTGCTTGTGCGCAAGGGGAAGCACGAACGGACCACCTGCGATAAGTGTCTCTTTGTTCGCCAATGCTATGTCTTTCCCAGCTTCAATTGCTGCAACTGTAGGCTGTCATACAGAAAGAAAATAATGGATATTTTAGCTGCCCTTCGCAGTAGCTTCAGCAAGCATACATAATCAGATTTGGCGACATCTATATATATTTTTTCAATCCGTCCATCCAAAGTGGAGGAGAGAAAATTTAACAAGAGCATGATAATGTTGAGTTCTCCGGGAATGCGAAGATAAGATAAGATACTAAGCAGAGTCTGAAAGTAGCACCACTGAGGCAGGCATAATGGGCCTACTGATATGCAGTTTCATAAAGGAGCCATGGACCAAGGCTCTAAACTGTTAAGGATAGGATATTGGTTGCACCACTTCTCTTAACGCCTAATATAACTATTAAAAAGAACCGATGAAGGAAAATATGCAATATAGAAAGCATAAATTACCTTGAGTCCTGCACACCCTACTATGCCCGTAACGACTGTAACTGCGTCCGGGTGTCGTGCGACCTATTATTGAAGAGTTGAATATTAGTGAAAGTTCAGTGGAAAGCATTGATTCCTTTTGCATATAGGATCAGAAGAAATGTCTTGTTACCTCTATGACACCTTGCTCCCCAGGAATAATTTCCGGCATCTCTTCACAACCAGCTAACGCTTCCTTTAGCTCGTTAAGTAATGACTCGTTTCTTACAGCCACCAGCTTTGGCTTGAACGTTTTCACCTGTTAAATTCGACGGTAACTTGCATTCAGTTAATACTACAAAATGCACATCAACTGGCTCATACAGATTCAGAAAAAAGGGTGTCGAGATGGAACAAAAATATACTCTGAAGATAGATCATTGTACCTGATCAGCTAGAAGAGTGACATTGGAGCCAGCAGCAAGAGCGACAACCCGGAACTTGTCAGGATTCTCCGCAACGATGTCCAATGTCTTTTTCAGTTACGTGAACAAAAAAAGGAAAAAAAAACTGTTAATTACCAGCAGATCCACCAAGTTGAATAAAAAGAAGCACTATTGTCTGAACATGTAACATTGCAACGGTGCGGATTAAAAGCTTCCATGCATCTTACCTGTGTTCCTATGGAACCGGTTGAGCCGACGATCGAGATGGGCTTGGGACCCTCCCATGATCTCCTCTCAGGTTCTATGACAGCTCGGCCAGGCCAGGCGGGCGGCGGGCCCTGCTGCATGGAGCAGCATGTCCTCAGGTAGGCTGCTCTTTTGTCCCTCCTTTGAAATGTGAAGTCCACTGGAATGGGGGCACAAGTCAAGTCAAACTAAGATTAGTTGAAAGCAACACCACTAACCAAGCAAAGTTGGACTAGAATTAGGCCAGTAGAGAGGAAATAAACAGGACCGCACCCTATGCTAAAGGAAGTTGATAAAAATTGAAGCCCTGAATTATTGCACCCTATGTAATCTATGATGACCATTAATGTTCATGTCTGTTTGCTCACCCAGTTCATGCCTAGTGCACCAACCAACCAAACAGGGCCTAAAATGATATGCTAAAAAATGAAATTAAAAAAATCAGCTTAAAAGTATATAAGGCACTGAACAGAGGCACAAAGCAGAGCAGTGGAAGTTGGTGTGAATGAAAATATCATGTCAGTGGAAAGTAGGAGGTGGAATGGGATCAGATCCAGGCAGAGGAGAATATGTTCTTGGAACTTTGGAAGGAAGGAACATTAGATATTCCAGGCAGGCAGCGCAGGGGGATGGAATTGGCAAACGGCGCCCCCCCTCCCGGGACGATATTTCGGAATTTGATGCAGCCAGTGGATTGCAAAAGGAAGAGAGGATTCTTTCTAGACTGACTGAAAGGTAACTGATAACTGCTGCCTAGACAAAAAAAGTATGTAAGATGCATCAAATACTGAAATTTCTGCTGCCTTTATTTTTCACTGTAATAGATAAATGTGTTTTTTATATGATGAAAGGAAAGGAAATGGTGGCTTTTGAAGGACGTCCAAATCAAAACGGTTAGGCATCATGAGAATATGAGATCACAAGAGAGCGTGCGTGCAACTTTACACTGACAGACATACAGACAGACTGTATTTACTACACTAGAGAAGGCGCGGCTGCCATGCGCCGCGAAAACAAGAAAAGATTTCAGAGCAAAGCTCAAGCTTTTCTTTTCTGTTCTTT